CGTCAGTACGGTGGGGGGGGTTGCTGTTTTGCCTAGGGCAGCAGCATTTGTAAATACACCGCTGAGTGTGCTTATTGCAGCTTTCAACTGGGTGTTTTTTGGCATCAGTGTCTCTATTAGGGAGAATTTATGGACAAGACAGGAAGTTATAAGAAATCTCTCTAAAAAAGACACAGACAAATCACATTTTGAGTCGGGAAGGGTTCTAAAAATATTTTTATTGCTGTTATCTGTGTATTCCTGTATTCATGACAACTCTGCCCCCATTTCTTCAAACGGGTCACAGACAAAAATAACCTGATACAAATGTTAACGCTTCTCTATTATGTTGTAAACTAAATAGAAAAATATATACTGGAGTTGCACTTTAACTCCTTGGTGACACAGCTTCAGAAATAGTTTTTGTTCATGGGGACCAAAGCAATTTTGCCATTTCTGCTATTTCCATCTTCCTCATTCATTGCACCTACACAAATTATTTACCATATTTTTTAAAGGACAAAATGGGCTTTATTTTGATGTGACATATGTGTATATAAATTATTTTTTTGTTTTTTATTTTAAAAAAAAATGCAAAAAACCCCTAATTTTTCACAGTTTTTTTTTCACAGTGTAGCTAACAGAAAGTAATTCATACGAAATTCCTTCATTTATCCTAATTTATAGGGTATATCATATATCAAAAGGATTTCAGTTTTTTTTGCGAGTTATATTGTCACAAAATACAAGGAGTGAAATACAATTTCAGTGTGGAACAATTTTAGAATGTGGTATGTCTGTCATGAATGTTTTGTGTGTTTTTATAAGTAACTTTAATAGTCTCCTCAGCATTATATTTTCTTATAATTTTTTATGAAACATATTTTTTTTAACTTTTTTGACTTTGTAAAAAATTTTCAAAATGTTTAAAACTTTTAAAAACTGTTCATTTTTTTTTAAACTGTGCAAAATGTGCAGTATGTGAAGCTCTGTATAATTTGTCACTGCTATATAAATATCTATAATAAAAACATTTTATGGGTGAATTTATTACATTTTGGCAAATAGTAGACTATGCCTCTAAAGAGTGATTTAGATAAATGCATAAAATGTGTTCAAAATCATATATATGTTTTACATACCATAATATTCCCAGTTGGAAACAGGAGCTACTGCAATTCCACATTTAAAAAGGCCTGTCCCTTGACCAAGAACCATAGATGTTACGTAACCTCCATAGGACTGAAACAACAGTTAAAGAATTACAAGACATATTGTTAGCTGAAATAACAACATTGTGTACCCAAAAGATTAACCAGAACTGAACATGATTTGATTGTGGTGGCCTAGAGGTCCAGATTCCACCAGGAATGCTATATGTTTATCCTGCAGACGTCTTGGGGGGAAACAATAGAAACAAATCAAGGTGTTTTTACTTGTCCAATTGCCTTTTTTTCCTTCAGAAACCTTAGGCTGGTGGTGTCTATGGGTGCTTTATAGAAATTGAATCATCAATAGATCTGACTCAAATTGGCCTGAATTGACAACTATTATCCCATGTCGATACAATGACAGGGGCGGATTTGTAATTAGGCACAATATGAATAGTCATATAAATGATACCAATATCATCAGTGGGAACAGTTAACTCACATCACTTTATTATAAATTAACATACAATTGTAAGCCAAGTCAAGGCTAGGATAACAAGTAAATGTTTGTGTAAAAAAGGTTTTAGTTGCCTACAGGCTCCAGTGATGGAAATCTGGCACTGTGTCTACATGTGCCTTTAGGCCCAGTTCACACCAGGATGATCCAGTCATGCGGATTTGTTCCGTGCTGAACCGCCGACATGAAAAATCCCATATATTCCTTTGCTCTGTGCGATCCGTACCACCAGCTGTCCAAAATGCTCCCCGGGCTATTTTTTAGCACTGATCAGCTAATTTTCCATAGAGATTTCAAATGAAACGTGCTGATCAGCACGTTTTTGGCTGTTTTTAATTGCGTTTTAGCTCTGAAGTGCGATTAAAAACGTCCAAAAACGCTCTTTCAAAAATCGCACGGAAAAATCGCAAATACCTTACACATTAGCATGTTCTTGCTCTCTGTCCTCCTGTTCTTTCTCCCAAGCACCTCTCCTGCTGCCAAATCTAGTATGGAAACCCCTTATCATCAGGATAGAACAGTTGGGTAAAAGGAAACAGGCTCATGCACTTCAGAATAGTCCTTTCCACCTATCCACCTCATCAAGAAGCACTTCAACTGGAGTCCACTCTAAAGTTACTTTAATTTAGACACTGACAGATCAGGAGAACAAACACACCTCTAAGACATGTTTCCTGTAAAGCTGACATTTGGAAGGGGGGCTTTGGGGGCACCAAAGACATTAGTTTTGTGTAATGGTGTGTATCCCATTTCTTGTAGGCTGTTGCTACATTGTAAAATCTTCCCCTCTGTGCCCCCTTTGCACCCGCTGGATATTGCCCTCAGTGGCTGCCTTTCGTCACTGTGAGAGTTAATAGACGGTACTGCTAATTTGCAGAGTTGCACCACCCTCTGCCCCTCCGCCATTCACAGAGCTCATATTACTATTATCCCACAACATATGGTGTGCTGTGAATGAAGAAGAAGCAGTTAAATGACAGAATCTCCATTGCCCAGTAACAGGACACACTGCATTGTGGGATAATAGTCATACAAGCTCTTTGAATAGAGGAGGGGAGTGGGCCAGTGACAGAGGCTAGCAGCAGCGGCTGTTAATTCTCACAGCACTAGAACACAGCCGCTGTGGGCAATATTCGGCAGTTGTAATGAAGGCAGTCAGGGGAACATTTTACAAACAAGAAGCAGCTGCAGGTAATGGGATACACACCATTACTCATAACTGATGTGTTTGGTGCTGTATCCCCCCCAAAAGCTTTAGGGATTCAGCCTCTATTACAGCAAACTGTATGGTATCTCAGCGATTTCGGTATTCTGAAATAGCCATTTCCCTAAAGATAACCTCTTCACTTTTACACAAAAAGCAAAGCCTAGAATTCAGGGTAACCAAACAAGTGACAAAGGGCTCTAGAGAATTGAAGCAGCAGAGATTAACAATGTTTTACTTGGTTTACAGCTGGCCATATAGTGCATAGCAATAAATCACTGGACTTCGATCAAGGCAATAGAGACTTTATAAGCTGTAGGAATTTGGTCCTCACTTAACATTACTTGTCAAAATTGTTCTGTCTTGACACAGATAAAAGGATGGGAATAATGCACATACACAAGTGATGATTTGATATTGCAGTTCTAAGATGAAGGCTCTAGACTTTGTGAGGCCTTAGGCGAAACTCAAATGTGAGGCCCCCACTTACACCCATAATGAAAAATGAACTGTGATGATCAGTGATTAGAGCGAGCCCAAGGCCGGTGCAAAGATTTTGCCTACACAGGTCCCCCCCCTTCCCGGCACCCTCAGCCTTATGCTAGCACCAGCCCTGGTCCCATGTAACCTGGGAGGTGAGCTGATTAGGGTTGCCACCTTGTCTTCCAGCGAAACCCGAACACTCTAGCACAGTGCACCATTTTTTTTTGCAGAATATACAGGAGAGAGAGAGGAAAAACAGCCAGGAGAGAGAGTGAGGAGAGACAGCCAGAAGGAGAGCGAGGAGAGAGTGCTGAGGTGATATGCAGGCACAGCAGGGGGACTAGATTGCCAGGTGCCCAGCATGTATGGTGTGTGGAGTTGCAGGGCCTACATGTAGGCGCTGGAGCACAGGATGGCAATGAGCCGGCAGCATTTCTGGTGACACACAGCCAGTGGCAAAGCTAGACATTCCGTCACTCAGGACAAAGACTCCCCCCAGTAGATGTTCTCCATTCACACACACCCCGCCCCCACCCCACACTTTTGGGTTATCTTCTTTTGTCATGGTGGCGCCCCTCCTCATCCACCGCAGGTGAGGCTTCAAATCACCTCATTCTCCAGTTCTGCTTCATTAATTAAAGAGCCGCTCCTGGGCTCACTTCTATTTTCTCCCTGTGGGTGTGCGCTGTGTATTACAATCTGCCAGGGCACATGCCGTATGCTCTGCAAAACAAATTAGTCAAAGTGGAGGACCTAGGAAACTATACCTCTTGCATATACCACAGTGCAGTACAGAAAAAACTGAACCAGTCACAACAGTCTCTCCAACAAAGGAGCTTACACATGTCCCCCACAGTCACACAGGTCAGTACAAGTACCGATACTTTTCCACAAGTACTCGCCGGTACTAAGATACTTTTTTTAGTGTCATGTGACAGTTTTTCTAAAATATTACAGACTAATGATTTTAGGACGGGACACAGCTAGAACGGGACACAGACAAAGTGGGAATCTGTACATTATATCTTCCAATATAGTGTTCAGATTCTCGGTTCGTCTGTGTCCCGTTCTAGCTGCTTGCCCCCATGCAGGGGTGTAACTAGAAACCAAAGGGCCCCATAGCAAAAAAAAATGTATGGGGCCCCCTCCCCAAAAGAATGCAATTAAACATTCTCCACTAATGTTCCTGCCCAACAACGCTTATATTTGCTCAATCCAGTTTCTAATAAATCTCATGTGTGAGAAGGCAACACAGCTTTTGCACAACATACCTACCATGTGTTATAGTGTGGCAGGTGCATTGCATTGCCATTCATTTAAATTGCACCCCAACACACCTCGCAGGCGCAATGTGCTCTACCGTGCAACATGCCATGCCTCAATGAAGTGAAGTAGTAGTGCATGTGTTAGTGTGCCATTCAAATATTAATTGCATGGTACCGTGCAAAAAACACACCAAAGTGGTGTGAATGAGCCCTTTAGGTATGCATTGTGCACCTCCCCTCAGATTCAGTAAAGGTATGCAAAAAACAATTGTTTGCACCCGGTCCTCTCACCTCCTGCTCTTGCTGCTGGGGCTGCACTGCTACACCAGGCTGGGCTGCGGATGGAGCGGAGTCCCAGCAGGGGAATGTGGAGTGAAGTCCCGGCGGGGGAGCGCTCTGACACGTGGACCGACGAAGGTGCTTTTTTTTAGCTCCCTCCACAGCGCCGACTTTGTCTATCCCTGCTTTTGATTAGGCGAGTTAGATGACCGCGAGGCCCTCTGTGACCGCGAGGCCCTCTGTGACCGCGAGGCCTAAGGCGATCGCCTAACTCGCCTAATTAGAGAGCCGCCTCTGTTTTGAAGCTCAAGTACAACTTTCTGACAGATTATTATATTATTATTTCAGGTCAGAGGAGTGAAACTTGTAATAAGGAACTCCACAGTGATCTATGTTATGACATAATCCCATGCAAAAAAGGACATCCCTTTCTTTGACAAAAAAAAACAAAACACAGTATTTGGGGGAAACCCATGGCTGCAAACACAGTGTTAATATTTCTCTGTGAAGGTTCTCATTCATCCAGGTCATGGTATATTGTAGAAAATAAATCAAGGCAACTGGCCTTGCTGAATTTTTCTTGAAGACGTTTCGCTGCTCCTCTGCTTAGCTTTTTGAATTGAGAAAGCTAGTTGGATGAGCATTGAAACATCTTCAAGAAAAATACAGCAAGTCCACTTGTCTTGATTTATTTTCTACAGATATAGTAACAATGTTTTTTTCTTAGTTTGTTAGAAGATTTTATGTATTTTCTAAGCATTTCACAAGCAGCTTTTGTGAAGCCCACACCATATACCACCCTCCAGCTTCAGTCTAGTAATGATAAATACGAATCTTAAGGTGACTCGGGCAGCTAAAATAGATTGTGAAAAGCATATCGCCACAGTCAGTAAGAGGAAATTTAAAAAATTCTACCAATATATAAACAGTAAAAAGGTAAGACAAGAGCAGATAGGCCCAAAAAAGGATGAAAACGGGAGATTAATTAAACAACAGAGAGAGGGCGGAGGTGTTGAATTCTTTTTTCTCCTCAGTATACACTCTGGAAAAAGATGGGTTTAATGTAGATAAGAATGCAAATAGCTAATTGCAAAACATACCACAGTGGTTGACGGTAGCCGGGGTTCAACATAGACTTGAAAAACTTAATGCAAATAAAGCATTAGGACCAGATGACCTGCACCCCAAGGTACTTAACCTCCCTGGCGGTATTCCTGAGTTTGGCTCGGGGTTAACTTTCAGTACCAGAAGCGGTAACCCCGAGCCAGACTCGGGAATGCACAGAAAAGTGACACTTACCTTGTCCCTGCGAGCCCGCGGCGTCTTCTGCTGTACGCGGCCGG